CTGATAGCCACAGACATAACTCCCAGAGGCAGATGCATGTTGGGATTTGTAGTTTTGGCACAGCTGGAGTGCCAAGGTTCGCCACCACTGGGCTAAGCCATAAAGTCACAGGAAGTCAGACCCCAATAACAAAGTATAACTAGATCAGCGAGGAGCACAGAAGATGCTTTCTGGGTAATAAAGCAGCAGGCTGATTGTGGTGTCTGTGAGCAGGCAGGACCTTCACTTCATATCTTTAAAATGCATAACAGGGTTATTTGAACTATCTGTGGCCAGCTGGATTGGCAGTCAAAGTCCCCTGTCTTAGTATTTTATGACCTGAAATATGTACAAATATTTGCCAATGCTGTCAGATCTCCCTGCCAGAGCCACTTTCAGATGGATAGCACTCTGCCGATGGCACGTGCTTTATGACATGTGAAATGTGATATTTATTGTATAATAACTGACCTGGAGGCTATAACCAGCAAGATATTTCCAAGCAATGCAACCAGTTTGAACAATACACGTGTCAATATGGCCACTCAGAGGTTTCTTTTGGAGTATTACGGCCCATTCACACCACTGCATGTGAAATGTGCGTAATGTGCGTTATGCTCAGCGTCACTTTGCATTGCGTTAAGGCAGCCCATTTAATTGGCCCAATGGACCAAAATGCATCAAAAAGGTAAAGGCAGTATTCCTGATAGCTCAGCACACTGCACTGAGCTGTAACTCACGTCTGACAGCTAGGTACCCTTGAGTGCTATTTAGAATGAACAGCATTGCACCAACGCATGTAATGTGCATCACAATGCATTAGTGTAAATAGGCCCTTAACATGCATTACTTCATTCCACGTGTGCCATAAATCAGGGAGAGAAGTTTTGAAAGACTGCATTAGCAAGCGATATAATGAGGTTAGGATGGAGGTAAAGGGTGGGTATTGGAAACATTTAAAGCTGGCCATACACTATCCTATATTCTGACAGGAGTGGGTGTGCCACTATCAGAATATCCGAACAGTTACTGCAGCTGATTGGTTGCAGTCACTGTTTGGCCAAGAATTTTCTGCCCTTCTTCTTCGAATTTTAGAACGAAGTATGCCGTGGCCACCTATGGAGCAAATTTAATTTGGTTCATTATGTACCATCTAAAATTTACTCTGCATATGGCCAGCCTAACTCTCCAACATCCTAAACTTGTAGCATTGCCATGGCAATAGGCAAACAGTATTACTTGTTCTGTATGCTGGGTGTAATTCTCAATATATGATCATGTTCTGTATGTATGGACTCTGCACAGGACGTCTTCTCTTGTCCTGTATGCTGGGTGTAATTCTCAATATATGATCATGTTCTGTATGTATGGACTCTGCACAGGACGTCTTCTCTTGTCCTGTATGCTGGGTGTAATTCTCAATATATGATCATGTTCTGTATGTATGGACTCTGCACAGGACGTCTTCTCTTGTCCTGTATGCTGGGTGTAATTCTCAATATATGATCATGTTCTGTATGTATGGACTCTGCACAGGACGTCTTCTCTTGTCCTGTATGCTGGGTGTAATTCTCAGTACGTATATGATCTTATTCTGTATGTATGGACTCTCCACAGGACCTCTTCTCTTGTTCTGTATGCTGGGTGTAATTATCAGTATATGATCTTATTCTGTATGTATGGACTCTCCACAGGACCTCTTCTCTTGTTCTGTATGCTGGGTGTAATTATCAGTATATGATCTTATTCTGTATGTATGGACTCTGCACAGTAACACTTCTCTTGTCCTGTATGCTGAGTATAATTCTCAGTATATGATCTGATTCTGTATGTATGGACTCTCCACAGGACCTCTTCTCTTGTCCTGTATGCTGAGCAGGGCTGCCATCAGGGAGGGTACGGCCGATACTCATGTAAGGGGCCCAGGCAGCCTGGGGGGCCTGCCCGGGATCCTTACATGCCATACAACAGCATTTTTCTTTTCCTATACCCTGGGTAGAATTTCTCTTGTTCTGTATGCTGGGTGTCTTTTGCAGTATTTGTTCTTATTATATGTGGACGGACACTGCGGAATACCACTTCTATTGTATCCCGAAAGTGATGGCACCTGTTATTATCCTCATCACCGTGGGCCTTCACTGCCAAGGTCCCTGTGTTCCACCAACCCCCTTCTGCAATACCAAATGGTGTGGGGGAAAGGGGGGTGGGGTTATTGCTTACTTTTAAAAAAGTAATTTTGGCAAGGACCGCCCCAACCCTTCCTGCTGCCATTGTCACCTAGGCTTCTGCTGCATCCTGGTTTATCCCTGCCACATCTCCCTAAAGGCTGCAGGAGCAGGGACTTACAGCAGTTGGGCTTCACATCATCAGACGTTGGCTGCAGAGTCCAGAAGAGACAATCAGCTCCCGATTAAGTCAGAGAAGAAGATAGTATGGGACTCAGACTGTGGCAGCAGGACAGCTCTGCTATTGCTAGGTAGGCGAGTATGTTTTACTTACCTGATCCCCATTCACCCAGAAATTGTCTCTCTCCTCTTCTCCCCTTTGGCAGTACACTGTCCCTTGGCATCCGCACATACAATGTAGGGCTATGGTGCCTATACTGTAATTGATGACCTCAGCGGTCCTTAGACCGCTGGAGCAAAGGGCAGAAGAGGCTGTGGAGACCAGTCTAGTAGCATGGAGGGAGCAGGTGGCAGCGGGGATCAGGTAAGAAAAACAGCTTATTCCTGCATCCTAAGCATAAATAAGCAGTTACCCCTTGCAGTGTGGGGGCAGCCACTTTTAATTTCCCTAGAGTTGGGCTTTAAATAGATAAAGCTAATTAAATGACATGTAAAATTAAATAATTAAATACAAAAGTGCTTTTATCAGGGACCTGATCAGTGTTCCAACTCCACATTATATCTAGGGATAAAAATTCCAGGGATCACCCTCTAAGAATTGAGACTGTTCCTGGAATCTGAGGACATTTAACACCTGCAGATTGGTGGTAAGATCTCAAACCAAGATCTTCTGGAACTCTATAAAATGAAATTAGATGATGCAATTTCTTCCCAGCCAAGAGAGAGATGAGTGGAAGACGGGTGTTGTATTGGCAGGACAGGATCCCTGAACTAACCGGTTTATCAAGTCAGTCTTGCAGCCGACCCCATTTGTGCATCCTCCTTCCGGAGCCGCATACACCCCATGGGTGGGACGGCTAGGCGTGATCTCCTTTGTACATCACCGACATTCATCTGCTAGTTAACAATTACACACTGTGTACACCTCTTGGAATGTTTGTAATTCTTCCGTTCTATTTCAACATAAGTCATAACATTCTTGAAAGGAAAACATTTTCAGAGTTGAAAGATACTGAAACTAAGACACCCACAGAGTCATGTCACACATTCCCAAAATATGTAGACTTGTCACCTAGGTTAAGTGGCAGTGAATGGGATAGCCTGAAGCTACAGTGTCCACTAAAATGATGTGAGGCAACATGCTTAAGAAGAACTTGGTTATGACAACATCCAACCGATTACAGCAGGGGTGGGCAAACTCCGGCCCTCCAGCTGTAGCGGAACTACAAATTCCATTAGGGACTGCATGACTCCCAGCCACAGGCATGACTCCCAGAGACAGACGCATTTGTAGTTTCACCACAGCTAGAGGGCCGGAGTTTGCTCACCCCTGTTCCACAGTGATTATAGTATTTCAAGGGAAACTACTGAGCTTTTATAAATGTTTTTAGATATACATATAAATATCATCCCCTTAAAATAAATGATCTTCTAATGTGTGTTAATGTAAAAAAAGAATTGTTGCCATGTATAATTTGAAATTATATAGCAAATGGGGGCAGCCATGTTTGCTCATTACCAATGATGTTCAGGGGCTTGGTGAGAACCCAGTTCACCTGAGTTCACCCAAGCCAATGTTTAAAATGGTCAGTCAAACAGTGACTGCATCCAATCAGGTGAAGTCATGGTTTGGATATTCAGACAACCGCAGGTGCTGGAGGTCTGAATACAATAGCAAAGATTTCACATGACTTCCTTACCAGCAGAAAGTAAGAGGAAATCTCTCAAAAGGAACACAGACTGCAATAAAATCATGACAGGGGTTTTACTTTACTGCTAAACTACAAACATGTCACCAGGATGCTGTTTTATGAACAATATCACTGGTTGCTAGGATGCTGTCTGCTGACCAGCATCACTGGTTGCTAGGATGCCGTCTGCTGACCAGCATCACTGGTTGCTAGGATGCCGTCTGCTGACCAGCATCACTGGTTGCTAGGCTGCTTTCTGCTGACCAGCATCACTGGTTGCTAGGATGCTGTCTGCTGACCAGCATCACTGGTTGCTAGGATGCTGTCTGCTGACCAGCATCACTGGTTGCTAGGATGCTGTCTGCTGCGAATGGAGTGTATGGGCCTTAGCACCACCCCCCATCATGCCTCGTTGCAACAAATTCTTGTATGTATTACCAATAGGTACATTCATTTTTGCATGGAACACCATTTGTCACGCGAGCATGTGCCAGAATTCCCACTCTGAAAAACCTGGCACGGCCGGCTCTGTGAAACATGTGACCCTCTTCCACAATTATCCAAAACTGGAAAAAGGTTTGGCTGGAGTTGGGCTTTGAGTGCGTCTGTAGTCCTGGATAGAGTGCTATCTGGATCCCCCACCCCGCCAGGAAGATTCACCCACTCTGTTTTTCATAGTTACTAGAAAGTGATGGGAAATCTTAAATGTAGCAGTTGTTGCTGTCATGACAGGAAGTGACAATAAATCTCTCCAATGGGACACAGACAAAAAAACAACCTGAATTGGTATTGTACCCAAAACTTAAAGAAGATTTTAGCCATAGATATCATTTATTGTAAGATCCAGGAAAAGCTGTGCATGTAATAAAGTTCAGTTTATAATTTGTATAACAGAAACAGGATATCCTATCCGCAATAGGTGCATGACTAAGAAACCGCTATAGCAGCGATATGACAATGTTCTGCTCATTGTGTCTCCTTCTAGGCCAGCGATGACGGTGAAAGTATTGGGAACTGTCCATTCAGCCAAAGGCTATTCATGATCCTCATGCACAAAGGATGCCCCTTTACCTTGACCACAGTGGACATGAAGAGGTAAGCACAGCACTCAGGCCAAAACATCAAAATTCTACATCCTAAATGATCCCAGAAATTTAAAGCTGTACTCCAGGCAGATCTAAAAGACACAAACTAAGGCAGCGCTGTATCATTAATACATCATTAAATCATTTTTTTAATGAAAGCAGAGGAAGTACCTGAATTTGACTTAGTATTAGCCTCCTGCAATCACTAATACAGCAGATCTCAGGCAGGGGGAGAGAGAAGCAGCACAAGGAGTCAATCAGATGTGCTGTAGTGCAAGCAGCCTGCTGATAGGAAAGGTCCCCACACACCTTACGATAATCGTACGATAATCGCGGGAAATCCCGCGATCGTACGATTATCGTAAGGTGTGTGGAAGCCGTGCGACCTCTACTACTGTAAGGTCGCACGACTTTAAACTTACGGACATGTTCGAAAACCCGCCGAGCATCGTACGATGTTCGGCGGGTTTGTGGCATGTCCGTACGATAACAGCCG